CTCCACAGCGTCCTGTGGGCATACCGCACCACACCCCACTCAACGACGGGGGAAACACCGTTCCGACTGACCTACGGCACCGAAGCTGTCATCCCGGTCGAAATCATGGAACCATCCCGTCGAACGGAGGAGCCCCTCGACGAAGAGATGAATGACGAAGCACTAAGGGATGAACTCGACCTAGTCGAGGAAATTCGATCGGGGGCTGCCCTGCGCGAAGCCACCCTAAAACAACGAGTGGCTCTACGCCACAACGACAAGGTCATCAAGCGCGAGTTCCAAATAGGCAGCCTGGTACTACGCAGGAACCAGAAAGACTCCCGCGAAGGGAAATTGGCCGCGAACTGGGAAGGACCTTACCGCGTCCACGGCACCACGGGTACCGGGGCGTACTACCTCGAGCAGTTAGACGGAGAGCCATTACCAAGACCCTGGAATGCTGCCAAGTTGAAGCAGTACTACAGTTAGAAACTGTCAACACCTAGGACCCTCGACCAGCAGCAACCACGCTCGGGCAATGAGGAAAAACGTCCAAATTCGTTTAAGGCTAAGGTACAGGCCCGACACACGACCAAAATAGCACGGCATCGCGCGGTAAACGTTGACGATCGATAGTGCCCGACGTGGACAGCTGTACCGAGCCCCACCGTCGTCGTACCCATGAGGCAGAACACCCAGCTCGCGATGGGCAGTTCACGCCAAGGGCGAATCGTCCCTACGGGCTCCACGCCCGACTGAGCAACCTCGCTCCAAAATGCCCGACATTCCATCAAGAATAACGGGACATCTACAAGGGTCAAAAGAAAATCTCTCCCCTCGAGCGCAACACTTAGGCAACCCCGGCCAATCAAAATAGGGCCGAGATTGCATACAAGTGGAGACGAGCAGATTCGCTCGCCAAATCAAAGCCACCTACGGGCACTCCTCGGACCCGTGGCTTCGGCTAATTTCATACAAGCATGTGATTTCAAACAAGGGCAAAAAATCCAAAATAAATAACAAGGTATAAACGCCCGAAGGCAACAAAGCAATATTAAACCGACCAAGAAGGCCGGCGGTGTTCAAAACATACAATAAACGGGCACGCAGGCCCAAAGAATACGAATACAAATATCAAGGGCACGCAGGCCCTCTATCCTACTCAAACTTCCACATTATCATCGTTGTCGACGCCAGGAGAGTCGGGCGGAGGAACGATCATGCCACCTACAACCCGGTGTGTGTGACCGATACCCTCAGTAATCAGACCGGGGTTTAGCAATGAGAGCTGATCGACTGCAGAATTGAACCCGTCTTCCAGAGCACCGACGCAGTCCGCCTCGAGGAGCCGGATATGGGCGACAAGCTCAGCCCGACTCTTCAAAGTCACTATGTCCTCGGGCTCATCTTCGGCAGGTTGCAGGACAGCATTCATTTCCTCAACCTGTTTACCCAGGCGTTCGACTTCGGCAGCCAAGCGATCCCTGTCGGTCCGGAGTAACTCCCCTTCCTCAGTCAACCTCCCCGACTTCTCCTTTTCCAGGGTCAGCATCTCCCTCTCGGCATCAAGTATCGCGGTCTGCTCTCGGAACATCTCCTCGGAGCGTTCCAGAGCGACCTTCAACTTCCGTGAGCTCGCAGTCAAGGCCACCTTCTCCTGCTCGAGCTCTTCAACACGAGCAGCATCCCCTGCATCCTCAGATAACACCAAAGCCATTTCGGCCATCTTTACCAGCCCGTCCACGCTGGCGGCCAGATAGGCCTTCCTTTCCTCCTTACTCATCTTCTTTATGGCCTCAGCTTCATGGGCGACCACTGTCGGAGGAAATCGCTCGAAGAAGCCCGCCTCTTCGAAGCAAGGGGGGAATGCAAAAGATTGAACAGCACCGGCATCCTCCCCGACAGTCGAGCCGCCTTCCACGCGGGTCCTCTTCCTCTGCGTCAAAACGGCGCTGGGGTCAATTTCCTCGACCTCTGGATCTGACGCTGCTCCCGAGCTCGACGTCGAATCCACCCTCACCGGCTGAGGAGCGTTCAGACTTGGTGGTGGTCCCATTCTCGTCGTCTGCGGGGCCTTTACGACCCTCCTGCCTCGCTTCTGGTCGGTTGATAATTTCAGGAGCCTTTCGTGTCGGCTAGCCATCGTACCTGCACGAAATAAAGGAAAAGTCAGTATCGAGTAAACTGCATGAATAAATGACGAATAAAAGAATTTCAAGCGAACAACCTAACAGGCGGGCAGCCTGCCTATATGACGGACATTCCACCAGCGCCTTGGTGTCGATCGGGCGAGACTCGAACGTCGGGTAACCGTCTTTGTCGACGATATCATCCCCTTCCCGCGTAACCCATCGGGCGGGGTGAAAACTGTCGACAAAGTTGCAAAGAGCCTCGTACGCCCGCTGATCTTCCGAGCACATGTCCCCGACAGCGGTATGGAAATAACCTGTCCCATGATCGTAATGTCGGGACATCCAGTACACCGGGAACTTAGCCCTACGACCTAACACGGGGCTCCCGTCGTCGGCCATCATCGCTTCTCCGTCATCGTCGCTGACGGGCCCCTCCTCCTCGAAAAGGGAATCTACAGCAGAGTCGGTAATAGGGCGTACCACATACCACTTGTCCTTAAACCCCCTCACGGAGTCCATATACATCTTAAACAGTCTCCTCGACTGCTTCAGGGACACCCAGCTGTGCTTCCCTCCTCGGGACTGACGCTGCAGGTGAAATACCCGAAAGAAAAGAGGGATGGTCGCCCCTATCCTTAAGTAGCGACACGTCAACTCAAACGCCCGGATGAAGGCGAGAGAGTTTGGGTGTAGCTGGGACGGGGCCAGCTCCAAATGCGTAAAGACCCCGGCCTGAAAATCTGTGAACGGCAGCCGCAGCCCTAAGTCTTTAAACGCGATCTCATACATCGCGAGGCTGTAGTTTGGATACACCGAGCAGATTCTTGCATTGGTCGACGGAAGCATGACCACGAAGTTCTGCTGGAAGTCGGGCTGGTCCTGACCCTCTTCAATAGCGGTGAATGGATGCCGGTCATCCCGGCTATATATCGACGCTGTCCCCCGAGGCTCGACACCCACCCATTCCAGCAATGGGTCGGTCACGGTATCTATCAAGGTGGCCGACTCGTCGGCACTCTGTTCTTCGCGATCACGACGTCCGGAGGAGCTCGGCTCGTCCGCCATGGTTACCTGCAGAGCACGGGAAACCAATCAGTTGAGCACGAAGTCCTATGCTCGACATAATCATGTCGTCCATACACGACTACACAAGTCCGTTTTCACAAGTGGATGTCTCCCCGACTTTCCTGAACCCAGTGTTCCTCCTCAAACTAACCGCGCGGCCACTCTCCGAGCATGTCGACCCGAGGTATGAACATAGCGAGCCGCACTATGAAGCCCACGGCCACGACCATGAACATACCGGGCACGGTCATGAATCAGGCGCCCCGGATCATGAAGACCCCGGGCAGCTCTGAAGTTTTTCACCTAAAACTATGAATGTGTCGGCCACAAGTATGCGATTGCCGGTCCTAGACATGAACATGTCGGGCAAAACACGAGTCTACCGGGCTAATCCCACGCGCACGATCCTAAAACATCTACAAATTCCAGGAATCATGCATTCTAAAACGGAAAAATGAAGAAAGTAGATCACTTACTTGGATCAAAGTTTGGGATTTGGCTAAGAAATGAAGAATCTGAGACGGGGAGTCACAACTGGAGAAAGTGTTGAGAGCGGCAACGGAGAGAGCACGGAGAACGGAAAACGTATTATGGGACCCAAGGACCATATTTATAGTGATGACGTGGAATACCAAACGTCACCTCGTTCAACCACGGACTCCATCTCCTCGACGCTCCGCTCCCAACGCAATGATGGCCCTACCCCCCTAGGGTGGCGGCACAGCTCCCGAAAGATGCCTCGTATGCTCGACCGACACGCCCGGTACAGATCCTACACGCATCCACCACCGAGGACGTCTCCGAGCACGACACGAGGAGGCCCCTCGAGGGCCCACACCTCCATCCCGGGCACGAGACCTCAGCGACGGAACAACTTGGTTTCAAGTCATGGCTCATCGCAAAGGAACCACGACTTGGGGGGCTCCTGTTCTGGACTGGGCCCGACAGGCCCAAAAGCATTACTAAGGCCCAGTCCAAAGGGACTCACTAAGGACCACACTGGGCAAAGGGGGTCGCATCCATGCCCGACACCCTGGTGTCCACCTCGACATCTCGATGTCCAGCCCCACGCGGTGAAGTCATGCTCGACACCCTGCCGTCCGGCTCTATGTCCTGGAGTCCAGCTCGACACTCGCTGTCCAGCTCGAGGTCTTGGCGTCGAGCTCGGCACCGTGCTGCGAAGCTCGACAGGGGCTCGAGCTACATGACTAGGATAGACTCAGTCCACCGTTGCCCCAACGATACTCCGGAAAGACCGCGTCTCCGTCCGCCCGCACTTCACGCAGCACATCCAGGAAGGGGACCACGTGCTGGTCCCCACTACCCACGTAGAACCTGGCAGTTCCTCCATTGGGCCAAATCCGCCCGGCCCAATGAGGGAACCTTGGCCCAGCGCTGGGGGCTATAAATACCCTCTGTTTCCAGAGGGTCAGGTATTCATCATTCTAACCTCAACTCTATTATCTGCTCGTACTCCCACTGACTTTAGCATCGGAGTTTCATTATCTAAGGTACCCCCCTCCTCGTTCAAAAAGCTTTCAGCTCGGAGCAAGCCGTGACGGTCCAAACCTTCTGATCAGGTCAGATCAGAAATCATATAATATGAATATTTTAGTCAATCATATTTGAATCTTAAGACACATAAAGTACACGTATATTATCTATTACTTTTACTTTCTCTTGCGTCATATTTCCAAAGAAAAAGCACTATAAATGCACGAACCATCAACCCTCATAAACACATCTCTCCAAGCACAAATTTGATACATATAATCAACTAAATTCTCAACCAGTTTGGTCATTATCTTTCTTTTGCTTTAAGCCATGGCCTCAGAGTTTATCTTAAGGAGTTTGGTTATAGTTTCCCTTGTCACATCCCTAGCGCTGCCAGGCTCTCTCGGTATGTCTCCAAAGTTTTTGTATTTCTAAGTATTTTATATCATGAACTAATATAGTAGAGTGAAATCAATGCAGGAGCAATAGAGTGTGAGAATCTAAGCAAGGAAACATGTTCATTTTCTGTTTCATCTAGCAGCAAAAGGTGTGTCCTAGAGAAATATGTGAAAAGATCAGGTGAAGAAGCATACACATGCAAAACATCAAATATTGAAACTGATAAACTAAAAGATCACATTGAAAGCGACCAGTGCATAAAAGCTTGTAATTTAGACAGATTATCACTTGGAATTTCATCAGATGCACTTCTGGAATCTCGTTTCATAGCAAAGTTATGTTCTCCACAGTGTTACAAGAGTTGTCCAAATGTTGTTGATCTTTACTTCAACCTAGCAGCCAGTGAAGATGTGTTTCTTCCTAAGTTGTGTGAGATGAAAGGTGGAAATGCTCGCCGCATAATGGCGGAATTGAAAAGCTCCGGTATTGTGGCACCGGGACCTGTGGATCAAATGTTGTTTGCAGCATCATCTCCACAATCATTTAGTTCTGTTGAGTTTGCAGCTGAGCCTATGGATGCAGATCTATCATGAGTGTGTTTTGGAATATTTCTCTATCTGTGGGAAAGGAGAAAGGTAGTATGTATGCAAATGAAATAAGATGAATAAAATTTCTCTTAGTATCATCTTTATTTTGATGTTCCCTATTATTTTCGTCATTTGTAATTTTATTTGGTTTCCTTTCAATTTGTGTGTAATTTGTTTAATGGATTATAATTGTACAATCCTTACATTCAATAAAAGACATTACATTGTGTTTTTAGGCCGAGCAAGTGGGTCAAAGTCAATATTTTATATGTATTTTGAATCACATGTTAGAAAGCTTAAAATAGGTTTTTTTTAAGTTTGATTCGAATCAAATACGTAGATTATTCGAATAAAAAATTAACTTGAATAATGGATTTTGTCATTGAGTAGTTGATTCGAATAAAGATCATGTGTGACTTGAATCACAACGCTCATTTACTATAATCATAATTCTTCTTGACTCCAATAATGAGCATACACATTTTCAAAAACTAACCATGACACAAAGCATTCATTTGCTTGACTTCAACCAAGGTACCAAATCCCAATTCAAATCAAATTGATAGTTCTCGTATTTTATCACATTGATTCAAGTAACTCTTTCATCTTTATTTAAATCATAATTATTTGGTTTGACTCAAATCAACGGCTCATTTTCCCACCTTTTGCGCCTAACCTTTAGCACATATATACAAAAATTATCATTTCTCCATAATAATAGAGGGAACAAAGGGATGAAAATTGTGCGAACCTTTTCTAAGAGATAAAAAAACTTCATCACAGACAAAAACTCATTTTTCACAATTCTAATGAGAACCCCATGTGTGTTTTTCAATCATAAATACTCTCTCACTTGTTCAAACCTTTCGAAAAACTTCCTAGAACATTATTCATATGAAATATATTGTATTGTGTGAGATTCTTTCTGATAACCATCATCTTCAATCCTGAACCAAGAATCCCTATTGTTGTAGTATTCAATTCCAAAAATTGAATGTGAGTGGTAGATACAAGGTACATTAAGGAAGTTGATGTTTTTTGTGAAGTTCTTTGTGTATCAGGATAACGATTTGCTTTGTGTTTATGAAATCAGAATATTGACTTTCAAGAAAGTGAAAGATTACTCTCTCCTCTATTGAAGACTTTGGTGGAGCTGAGTGAATGCGGCTATAGAAACAAGTTTGGAGCGTCAATATTTTTTAGCAAAACAAAATCTCAGACAAAGGAAATTCAGTAAGACTGAGTGAAGGTGGCTATAGACGGATGCTTGGAGCAGGAATTTGTGTATAAAAAGAAATTGACTCAAGATTAGTGAGATCTTGTGAATCGGAAATTTTAGTGTTCGGCCATAAGGGAAATTTAGACGTGTGTTCGCTTAAGCGTTGTTTGGCTTAAAGTGATTAGTATTATTTTGATAATCTGTTGTACATGTTTTTTATTTTTGTAATTTTTGGCATTATAGTGGAATACAAAACAAATTTTCAATGTCTTGTCATTGTGAAACGATTAAGTGCAAAGCAAAGAAGAATATGTTGAACCACTATAAATTATGTGTTAAGCATGACAACAAGGTGGAGCAAGAGTCATTATAAGCATTATTCGCCCTGCCCCCTCCACCTTATACCATCCTCGCTCTCGCCACCCTATATTAGGCCTGCCCTTGCCCCTAAACCCAGTTGAGGTGACAGTTTACTACCCAACCCCCACCCAATAGGAAACGGGTTTCCCCGCCCCCACACTAAGAAACTTTTTTTAAAGGCATGTTTTTTATAGTAACAAACATCAATAATTAAACTAAATACTTGATTATTTTAATAATGATCATAATATTTGGTCATTTTTATTAATTTATATTTTCAAAATAATGAATATTAATTCTTATAAACATGTTACCTTAAGATTAAAAAAGGATAAATAGGTAATAAAATTATTAAAAATAAGATTAAAAAAAGGGTGAAGCGGGGTGGGTGTAAGGTGAGTGTAATACAGTGGGAGAACTGACTTGGTGTTTTGCGTTTGATCGCAATTATTGCGGTTAGCAAGAGTCACCATCGATTTTTCTTTTATCCAACAAAGGAAAGGTTGAAAAGAACAGGAAAGACCTTTAGAGATGTTTTCTTGAGTTCGGAGGGTAGGTTATGAAAAGGGAAGGTATTATCACCCTTTTCATCCGTAGTTATCTATGGGCTCTTAGTTGCTTGCTAGATCACTTGCTTTGTTTGAAAATGTGCTTTGTGGTGTGGGTTTGAAAATATTTTGAAAACGTCTTTGTAATGATTCTCGTCTCTATAAGAATGCGTACAAAGTGTTGGTTTTGAAAATAGTTCAAAGATATGTTTGTTGTGGAAGATGTTTTTGAAAGTGATTTTGAAAAGTGTCTTTGTAATGATTCTCGTATCTATAAGAATGCGTACAAAGTGTTTGTACTTTTGAAAATATTTCCATTGAAAGTGTTGGTGTGAAAATGGTTTTTTTGTGAGCAAGCAAGCAACTACGAGCGTCCTACCTACTCGAAAGGTCTTTGTTCTTTTCCTCTTCCTTTAGATGTTGCTATCTTACCATTGATTGATAAGAAGTCCCATTGTTGGATGTGAAGGGACGGACGTGGGTCATTTGTATAGTCATAGAAGGCAACTTATGAGACGTTTTAGCAATTTTCATATAGGGACTAGATCGTTTACCGAAGGCAACATCGAGGGACATCGAGGGACTACGATCTTTTATCGAGGGTCTTTGCTAAAATGCCCATATTCGAGGGACATGACTATTTTCCGAGGCAACAAGTGAGATTACCCTAGAGGTGCATGTGTGTAAATGGTGTGTTTGATTGCATGCATTTATTCTTGAATTTGGGTTGTCTACTTGTCGATTTTAACTTGCCATACACAACCTAATTACTAACATTTATAAAGCAATAGAAATGCGTAAAATAAATGTCCTACGCTATTACAACCATATTGAATAGCAAGAAAATATAAAAACAAAACAAAATAAAAGAAGGGAAAATAAGTTCTTCGATCTAGGTAGTAAGCATCCTTCGATTCAACCCTTTCTTGCTTCTTTCGATTGGGCATGGAAGTCAGTGTGGACATGCACCTTTCGATCACACTCCCTGTCCTTCGTTTGGACCTACAAAGCAGCATGAGTATGTACCCTTTGATCCACCCTTTTTTCTGCTTCCCTTTGTTTGGGGCTGCAACCAGTGTGTATCGAAGCCTGCATCCTTCGATTCACACATCTTTGTTTTGTTTCCTTTCATTTGGGGTTAGATAGCAGAATGGGGCGAAACCTAAGGCTTCGATTCACACAACTTTCTTCCTATTTTCTTTCATTTGGGATTAAATAGCAACATGGGTTGAAGCCATGCTAATATTGTTTCATGGTCAGGTTAGTTCTTAAAATATGTTTGACAAACAAAGAAAACAAACCAGAAGATTAGAAATGAAAACAAATAGAAAAGGTGGAAACGAAAACAAACAGAAAAGTGGAAACAGAAACCAACCAAAGAGTAATAATGATGTTTGAAACGAAAGGAAATGGTTATTTATATCTTATGCTTGAAACGAAAGGTTTAAGGTTAAGAGCACTTACCATGCTTGAAGTTGGAATGTGGGTTTTGGACCTGAGTTACTGCCCTGGATGCTCTTGGATTCAAAGGGAAAGAAACAAGTATTGTGTTTATTTGGTTGGATTCGAAAGCCAAGAAAAGTAGAGTGGTGTTTGTTTAGTCCTGAATTCTAAGGAAAAAGAAACAAGTACTGTGTTTCTTTAGTTCTGGATTCGAAAGAAACAGAAACAAGGGTGTGGTCTTTTGATTTTGGGTTTGAGAGTGTGTGAAGTGTTTTCTCCTTTCTTTGCCTTGTCAGCAAATCTCTCTCTAGCCACCAAAAGCCCCCTAAGATGTGTTATGGAACATCTTATTTATAGATGAAATTGGCTGAGGTTTTGGGAGGGAAAACAAATGAGATTTTAACAAATTGGGTATTCTATTTTTGTAGCTTTCGAGGTGCAGTCTTTATATGTCAATTTGGTGCAAATATGGGAGCAGCATAGTAGGACTGCTTTGTAGCAGTTTTGGCGTGTTGTGGTCAGTACAGCAGGCTTGTACTTTGCAACACAAGCATCTTGAATACTTCACCCTTTCGTTTTGACCACATAGGTTCAACCTTCGACCAGACTCCTCTTCAGACAACAGTATTTATTCCCAACTGAAGTGTATCCTTTGAATGGACCATTTGTAATTCTTCGAATGGGCCACCAATATTTGTCTTTCGAATGGGTCACCCAGGTACGTCCTTCGAATCCACCAACGTATGTCCTTCGAATGGGCCATAAATTGTGTGTCATAGTGTAGATACTATGTATGTTGAAGGTTTTCAAGGGTGAAATCGAAGCAATCTATTTCAAAGGGAGATATTGTCCATTCGAATCTAGTATGAAAATAGCCAATGCCCTGTGGGTGCCAGCATGAGGAAAGTTCCTGCCTTTGTGAATTGAAACAAGCAAGAAATAGGCCTTTGCTTCCTGAATCGAAACAAACAATGTAAGGGGCCATTGCTTTGTGAATCAAAGCAAGCATGTAAGGAGTCATTACTCAATCGAAGCTTGCATGCAGGAGGCCACTTGTGAATCGAAGGATGCATTTAGGAGGCTAATGCTTGAATGAAGTTTGTGGACCAAAGGATGCATGAAGGGGACCAGAGTTGGATTCGAAGTATGTTGCTTCAAAGGAAACCAGTACTCCAATCGAATATTTGTTGTGAAGGTAGCCATTTGTCTGATCAAAGCTTGGTGTCAAGATAGCCATTGTCCAAACGAAGCTTGCATACAGGAGGCCAAATGTCCAATCGAAACCTCTGGATTGAAGAAAGTTGTTTCACAGGCAAACATTTCCCAGTCGAAGCTAGCGTGAAGGAAGGAGTTCAGTCAAAGTTAGCATGAATCGAAGCAATTCCCATTTGAATCTAGTATGAATCGAAGCAAGCTTGCTTTTCTTCAATTTTGTC